TCGATTTTCGCGATGAATTGATGGCCTCTAAAACAACTTTACCTTCATTCATGAAAGTGAAATGCGGAAAAAGCAGAACAAGCGTGTATTATTATTTCCCGAAAACGAAACTTTTCATGGCAAATGCTACATTGCATTCTCGATGTGAATGACGGACGTAACAGAAGACGATGGCAGCGTTAAAGGAGGCAGCGTGTCAAGGGCTAGGAGGCTGTGTTTGCCGAAGCTCCTATATTGTGGATCGTCTGTCACGAGAAGTAAAGTGGACCTGAGGGGCTCGAGAAAACTCCGGCCTGTGATAGTGAGAAGAATGACGATGGATTGCTCAGTCGGGCTCAACGGCGCACAACTTCTGTCCAGTGAAGTTAACGCGCTGCTCTAGCACAGTCAAGACAGTTGGAAAGTTAACGCGCTGCTCTAGCACAGTCAGGACTGTTGGAAAGTTAACGCGCTGCTCTAGCACAGTCAGGACTGTTGGAAAGTTAACGCGAGTCAGGACTGTTTGAAAGTTAGCGCGGTGCTCTAGCACAGTCAGGGCTGTTTGAAAGTTAGCGCGCTGCTCTAGCACTGTCAGGACTGTTTCTTAAGCACTTTCTTTCTTAAGCAGGAGTTTCTTAAGCACTTGTAGGTGATACAGCATTTTCTGAGAACCGCGATGAATTCATCACGCCACACTCCAACCAATACACGACTGGTGAAAAAGTATTTGATGTCGCTGAGCTAAGCTGACCTCTGCATCTAAAGCCTCTGAAAAATTCTAACGACAGCCAATCTTAATATAAATGACTGAGAAAGACATCACTATGCCTTATTAGGAGTTACGGTACTTATAACACTGGTCCTCTGCTGTGAGGTTTCTAGATTAGAATTGATAATATCATGCCGAGGACGGAGAAATGAAATTTTAAAGGAGGCTCTAATGTTTAAATGATCACTTTGGCTTGAACAAACAATTAATTGAGTCAAACAATTGACACGCTCATCAATCAACCTCAATCAGGCCTTCAATCTCTAGATAAGAAGATTCTTGTCATTTGAAATGGGATAGATGCCCAATTTTTCGTTCGATAGTGTTTGAACGTCTGTGTTGGTTTTGGTCTGAGCACTGATTTAGAATACGGATTTGGCATCCCCTCACTAAAATCGGTTGTCTTCATCGGAAAAAGAACAGAAATATACGATGGTCAGCTAAGAGTGATACGATATGAGAAATACTTTTCATCGTGAACATTTATTACATTTTCTGCCCCTAGACGATCTATCTTTCATCTAATTGATAGATTCATTCAAACTTTCTATGAATAACCTTGAATCCTTGCTTAAAGAGTCAAACGGGTTCCTTCACGGTCAAGCACACTTGATTCAGTCGACTGACTCTAGCTTTTGATCGAAATGATTGACGTTCTAGAACTCCTCGCCTGAAATGCATAAAATATCTTCTTATATCAACCATAAATTATTAGTTTACCTTATCGGTTTTAGCTCAATTTAAACGCCTTGAAAGCTCCTATTAGTAACTTATTGTTGGTGAACCTTGCGGCTCATTCTTGCAACTTCTGCGAAGTAAATATAGATAGGTGCTGAAGCTGCGGTCAACAACGGACGTTGGCCCTCTGGCTCTGGCTATTGGGTAACTTGCTCTGTGATTTCCTTGTACTACCTTAATTTGACTGTGATAGTCAAATAATCTCATTCTGATTATCTGTTATATAGATATTTTGCGAGCAGGAGACACAGGAAGAGTTTTCATCTGTCAAAATGGCCCGCTACAAGCCCGCTTTGCCAGCCTCAAGATCATTTAATTTAAAACCATCAAATGATGCAGTTAGCCAGCCTAACAGTAACTGTGATTGAAGAGTCCAGTAGTGCCAATAGTACGAAAACTACGAACTGCATACCTCATACCTGAAACCCCAGACCCCTGAATCATCACTATTGATAGATTATCAATCTTCTCCGGCTTTCTCTTTTGAGAGGGCCAAAGCCAAACTGCCTACCGCAGCCCACGTGCCCAGACCCCCAGAGATGCTAGGACTAGGAGTAGGTAACTTTGAGCCTTTGAGGGTTTTGCCTGCTCCAACAGTACCAGACTACCAGACAGTTAACGGTACCAGTGGGCAGTGGCCAGTGGGCTCTTGACTCTTGTTGGAATCAGATATGTCTGACTCCTAGTATGGAATATATCCATAGTGGCAAAGCAGCGAGTTTTTTAGACTCTCCCTCAAGTTCATTTTTGAGTCCTATAAGTAGACCAGTAAAGTATCATGCATAGTGGCAAAGCAGAGAGTTTTTTAGACTCTCCCTCAAGTTCATTTTTGAGTCCTATAAGTAGACCAGTAAAGTATCATGGATACCAGCATTATCATACATAAGAAATTGGTTCAAATCTTGAGTAAATGAGGATATTAAAAATGAACTGATTCTAAAAAATCTCTGGTTTGCCACTATGAATATATCTACTTGGCGAGCCGCGACTGAATTTTTCGAGCCGTGGTTTTATGGATTTGCCAGCCATAGTGGCAAAGCAGAGAATTTTTTAGACTCTTCCTCAAGTTCATTTTTGAGACCCATAAGTAGACCAGTAAAGTATCGTGGATAGGTACCAGAATTATCATACATAAGAAATCTGTTAAAATCTTGAGCAAATGAGAAAATAAAAATGAACTGATTCTAAAAAATCACTGGTTTGTCACAATGTCACTATGGCCAGCCGTGATTCCATTTCTACGAGCCGTGATTCTATTTCACCGAGCCGTGAATTCCATATCTCGGCCATGAAAAGCCATTTACGAGGTGCGAATGCGAATTTATTTACAAAGTTTATGCACGTGTTACCATAGTGACAAACCAGAGATTTTTTAGAATCAGTTCATTTTTAATTTCCTAATTTACTCAAGATTTCAACCAATTTCTTATATAGGATAATGCTGGTATCCAAGATACTTTTCTGGTCTACTTATAGGACTCAAAAATGAACTTGAGGGAGAGTCTAAAAAAACTCTCTGCTTTGCCACTATGCGTGTTACCCCAAATCATTAATTTTACCCTTAAACAGTCAAACGGCAACAATAAAATTTGTCTCTACTGTAAGTTCAGCACGTGTTAATATACAGTCTGACCGCTTTGACATTTTACCCTTAAACAGTCAAACGGCAACAATAAAACATGCATTGTCTCTCTTTGGATCTCAATATTTTCCCACTAGATGGCCAAGACCTAGTGTTTTTGCAGTATTTCGACACGCAAATGTATGACGTCACCATTTCAACCATCAATGAATGCATGGAACTAAAACAAAGCTTAATATAAAGGAAAAGTGGAGAGGTGACGGAATTATCTACGATGTCGGAATATACCGCGTTTACCCTACTGATAACAACTCTCAAGGTGGAGTCATTGTTATTGAACCAATTGCTGACTTCTGTCCAGACTTACAATCCAGTTAAAAATTCTTTTCTAACAATTTGACCCTGAGGCCTGAGTAAGGCGGCTAAGGCCTTTGCCAAGTGGCAAGTGCCAACACCAACTCTCCATTTGGGCATTTGACAAATTGGCGAAGCATGAATTGCTATGTAAGCTAGAACCTTGGCTGCAAAATTCTAGTTGTAACCTTTGAGAAAGAACCTGGGTCCTGGGAGGCTGGGTCCTGGTTTCAGGATGACCTCTCTTCTAAAAGTTAACCAACTTGCTTCATGGAAAATTATGTGCCGTCTTCCTGTCAACCTTACAAAATCAGTTGGAGACGTAGTAATAGGATCATTGGCATTGGGTGATGATGTTTCAAACAATGACCTTTCTGAGGCTAAGCCTTCAGCATTAGCTGGCTATAATGATGCCACCGCTGAAAGAATATTAAAGGGTACCTAAGATAGAAACAACCTCTGTTCAAGGTTACATTCAATTTGACTATTTAAGCACTCTACCAACCTTTATTCTTCTAATGCTCCAGCCCAGTGCTAAGACTGGATCACTGGAAGTGGAAGACTTTCACTTATTTATATTTTGATTTTTTTCTTAGACCGGGTGGTAAAATCAATTATATTTTTGGTAAAATAACTCCAAATAACTCCAGGTTTTGGTGCATTGTAGTAGACCTCTTCTAGTTACATAGGGTAAACTCGGTATATTCCATCACATTAAGGACGCATCGTGAAATGAAAAACTATAAAAAAATAACTGTATGCGTTACTCAAGTTCTGTTTGCTTTAGGTGACTCTCAAAACACCATAGTACGCGTCGGCAACGATGAAACGTCACAAAATGTTGCCATATTTATGTAAAAGCCTTTAGAATGAAAACCTACCAAATCCCTATATTCCATCACTGTGTGTGGCAATATTCGGCACGTGGTAAGGTGCATTCCGTCCGCGCTTCAAATTCTACTGATACGTAATGCCGTCATCCACGTGTTCGAATTCCGTTTGCTGTGTGAGCTGTATTGGAATACAACACGGCTCTGAATTAGAACACTAATGAATATTGAACACTACTTAATTACGCTTTTAATTAACAACTATTAAGCTTTTAATTAAGCAAATTTTAATTTTTGTACAATATATAAGACTCTGTAGAGTCTGAAACATAAAGAAAAAAACATTAATAGGTGTATCAAACATAAAATATGTTATATAGGTACCTATGGTAATTTTAACTTAATTTCCAAGCTGGTCAATGTTACCCCTTCACGGCTGCCATTAGGTGGTCAGGGTTCCCCCATTGGGGCAGCGCTCCCCATTTGCAAACTATGACACTTTCCTAAAATTTTTCTTTTGCATACGGTATGTAACTAGGAGAGTTCTACTACAATGCATCAAACCCTGGAGTTATTTTACCAAAAATTGAAAAAATTGGAGGCTGGAGGGGGTAGGTAACAATTCAAGTGTAGGTATATAAGACCCAGAGTAGAAGCCATTACCTCTCACAAATAGGTCAAAACATTAAATTTAACTAATGCCTGTAATTAAATTGCAAATTTTGGCCCATGAATTTTTGAGCACTGCTGGTTACTAAGTAGGGAGTTATGTCTTTTCTCACAGTTTTTGCAAAATTCCACAATGGATTTTTCACTACTTGGGCAGCATTTGGTCTCTATTCAAAGTCCCATGCCAGATAATGGTGATATTTACAATTCTTGACTTGTGAAATTGAAGTGCTTAACATTTAAGGGGATAAGATAAGGGTGTGTATTAAAGAATTGCTAGTTAAGCAATATATATTATATGTGACTTGTGTGTGAACAACTATGCTGTTAACTTGTATTCAGATAATTTTACTTGCATCACTACTTAATATATTGATAAAAAATTAACACTATCTAATTGTTATGATAGCAGATTAGTTTCCAAATCTTTATGAGTTTTTGATGTGATCATGTGAAGGCTAAGCAGCTGAAAGTATCACAGCCGCAATGATCCTGAGCTTGAGGAATCTGGCATGGAGAGCTTTGCAGTGCGCAAAGTTTGTCTTAAGGGATCAAGGTATCTTGGCAAATGCCAGGGCTGCTCCTTTTGGCTGTTTAAACGGAGGCAAATCAATTCTTCAAAAGTACTTGTTGCAGCATCAATCAGCCACGTTGCAGAAGGTGTGTATTAAGTACGTAATCATCCTATTATAGTTAGACAGAGTAAGACAGGATTGAAATCACTTTTATGTATGGTACCTTTTGTCTATAATATGTACATCTATAAACTTCTGTCTATAATACCATGAGTAAAAACATTCAGAAACTATCCAGAGAGTGTTTGAATTTTTATGTTTCTTTATATTTCCATATAATGCCTTACAAGTATGATACGGTACTACTATTTTGAAAATTAGTCAGAAATTTATTATTTGCAAAAAATGATAAATGCACTGAAATAGGTAGTACAGTGTCACTACTCACTTCAGTTTTGGTTCCTGAATGACCAAAATGTGTCAATCATTTGTTACTCCCTATTGCCAAAATTGCCTGCTCTGTCAGCCTACATTAAATTAGTTTATATGCTTGATAATGCTATTAAAATTATTAAATAACTATTTTCTTCATTCTCTCATAGTTTACTGTGCTTGAAATAATTTTTATCCTGTGTCCTTTTTTGTTTGCTTCTTACTTGAGAGGCTATTGATTATTGTTATATTTTCTTGAAAAGACTGGATGTATCAAGACTTTTCTGTGTAACATATTTTCCCTAGCCACACATATGCTGCTTCTCAATTTTTTTTTATATCTTCAGACAATATCAGGACCAAGGCGTGGTAATCAGGCTGGGAAAACTCTCCCCCGAGAGTCCAATGTTTCGGGTGTTCTGATCTCCCAACGACCCTTGGCCAATTTGTTAGGCCGTGTGGGACCTCTGCTCTCTGGTGCTATATGGCGATTATCTACCCAGCGTAGCAGCCTAGGAACTCCTGTTTTTATTAAGGACTCAGCTCCTTTATTTGCATTAGTTGGAGTTACTCTAGTTGCCTCATCAGATGATTCTAATCCAGACAAACAAGATGTGGACCTAAAGAAGAGAGGTTTTGTTACCAGAGAAGAAGAATTGGAAACAATATGTGGCAGTATCAGAGTAAGTGGTTTCCAATGTTTGATTAAACTGTTATTTTCATTTGAAAACAAAAAATTCTGCCTGTATTGTGTATTTCACAAAGCTTCATTTTTTTCAATGGATGCTCAAATAAAATTTTCAGAGCAAACCCAAGTTTATCTACCTTGATGCAATTTTTCTTTGCTCAGAATGCCATTTCCAAGAGTGGATGGCTGGAGAGCCTTCAGTGTGACTTGCCAGTGAAGAAGCAGAAAGCAGCAGCTTCGTCCTCCGATATTGCTGCCTCTTCTCAGTCATACTCACTGCAAGATCTTGATATTGCTGGTGTCATTGATAAAGGCTGCAATGCTGCTGTCTATGCTGCTCGTTGGAAAACCGATGGTGAGTTTTTTCATACAGTTTTCTCTTGCGTCTCATTATGGTAATGTCAAATGATTGTGAAGTTCTAAGAGCAATATATTGCACATAAAATTTTGATAATGGTTGAGTCAACATATAAGCTACAGGTAATTGCTGTTGCAGTTTTAGACCAATAGAAGGGCCTGTTTCATTGTTCACTATTGACAAATTCAAGAACATTCCATTATAGCAAGTCCAATGAACAATTTGCTAAAACAGCCTGTTCATTATGTTATATATTATGCCTGCCTTCTTTCTGTTAAAGTTAGTTGTAATGAAGTATGTAAAAATATAATCAGACTGACATTTTTTGATTTCAAATAATCTATTTCCTATTATTCCTCCAGATAAAATTGATGAACCATACAACTGCAGCTCAACTTCATCTGTGTCGCCTTCTAATGACCTCCCTCACACATCTCAACATCAGACAAGCCACAGCCCAGCTCGGTCATCAAATGTCAATATCCCATTCAGTCAAATGTCTGAGGGGTTCTTCAGGTCTTCGCCATTCTATTACTCTACTCTGAACTTGAACTCATCATCTCCATTAGAAGAAACGATTGCAAGAACAGTGTCTGTTGAGGCTCTTTATCATCCATTATCAGCCCAGTTTAACGAGGAGCATGACTCACTGCTTCATAACATCTCCGCAGAGAAGGCATCGTCACCTCAATCTCGTGTGTATTTTTTTGTGAATGGATGAAATATTAAGCTAAGTTTTGTGAGTTATTAAATTTTTACAAGCTGGCACTAGAGTGGACATGGAAAAATATGATTGTGCGGTTCTCAGATAAATTTTATTGCTCTGTGCCTACCTTTGTGCCAACCCACCTCAATTTAATGAGGAAAATGTTAATGATTCATTTATTATAAATATCTTGAAAGTTGCTTCCCAATGACAATTGTTGCCCTGACTTGGAGCAAAGTCTTAATGCTGGTTATTAATTCATGAGCAGAATATTGCATAGCTGAATTTAGATCCTATTGAGTATCAGAGCATGTGAGAATTATTTGTTCTTGTTTTGCAGAACATCAGAGAAATGATCAACCACTAACTGCATCATCGCTGTCTATTAGTGGCCAGTTTGGTTCCCCAAGCACAGTGCGTCCAAAGCGAGTTACTTTTAACGTTCCCTCCAACCTCAACTCAAATAGTGGTTATGGTCAAACTTCAACAAACAACAATGGTAGGTGCTGTTTTATGAAGACTAATCTACTCAGTCTTTGTTTCACTTCCGTGCATGAGTGTTGTGGTTAAGTCTTTATCTTCTTGTTTCTTTTATCTTACATTTTGAAGAATTCCTGATAAATTACACTTTAAAGTTGCAGATGAATTTATGAATCTTAACTGCTGGTCTCTGTTCTTGTGATGTTGTTGTAAAAACATGTTTTTTGTCACTTTTATAAATTAGTATTTAACCCATAGTCATATTGAATGCAGCACCTATCTCCCCATGTTCGCCTTGCAGTCTCGGAAGAGGGTCGTCCGACAGCTCCTATAAGCCAGTTCCCTCTGGCAGTGAAGCTCGTCTTCAACTATGAGGCCGCCTCCAATGCACCGGCCATTCTCTCTGCGCTCTATCGGGAGCTTCTGCCTGCACGCTCTGTGCAACTAAATGCTCCAAGGTAGAATTTTCATTGTTAAGTATCTTGCGACTTTTTTTAATGCCTGTATTTTTTTTCTCTCATTTATTAGTAACCTAAAAGTAAACTAAACATCAGTGCTTGTTGGTTCTTTTAAACATCACAGCACTCGCATTCTATCTCTGGACGATTAGACTAGTTTTGGGTTTCCAGAAGTGTTTAACATGCTAATTTTGCGACAAGTAAAATAATGTTTTAATCAACCACGAGGCACGCCTGATCGAGTTACAACGTAAACGTGCATGGTTCAATATAGGTACCTACTTTCTAAGCTTTGATAATGCCTTTTCCCTATTCCCGTTTCACTTGATCTCGAGAATAATTTTCAAACTTGTGCTGTAGGTATTAAGTGAAGACCCACTTAAGCCTACATTCAGCATCAACTTCCCGTCAACTCCAATTCTGTAATATAAAGGAAACTTAACATTTTTAAAGAAAATGTATAGTATGTTCCGTGTAATATCTGCATTGCATTTCAATTTTTCAATTGAACATCCTCATCCCATTTTTCAACACTCGCTATTGGCTGCTAGATAAAAATTCCATTCCCCTGGTAACATCATGACGTGATAAGCATAACTGGTACGCCGTACTTAGTAGGTACTCTTATCCAGATCCTATACTTCCAAAAAAAGTTAAGAGATCGTAAGTTCATCGGCCAATCATTGACGGCCTTTCAAGCAAAATCCACCAATCATAGACAAGAAAATAGAGCGTAAGTACTTACGTTCACATAGCGAGCTTTGAAAGTATCCACCAATCATAGACAAGAAAATAGAGCGTAAGTACTTCCGTTCACTTAGCGAGTTTTGAAAGCATGGCCCCAGGTTGCTGCTGTACTTGCTGTAATAACAATAGGTACCCAAATATGCACGTCTCCCTTGCAGTGACACCATGCTGGAGGTGCTGCAGGCTGTGGTTCCCTACCACCCCAACCTGGTGGACATGCCCTGCGCCTTCGTGGACCGCGTGCCCCTCCTCGATGGCGGACTGCAGCTCTACCCCAACGCTCTCCCCGCGCGCCTAAGCCCACACGGTCATTCCAAGCATTTTTTTCTGATAACTGTTTACTAATTTCAAGTTTAAGTGTCGTTGAATAAATTGGTAATTATATTTTCTTCGTTGATTTGACAAGTATTATTCAGCTTGCAAATTGCATCTGTTCTTCTTTCAATAGTCACAATTTTTACGTCAGTCTTACGGCTACTGAAGATTTATGAAGTTTTGTTCACTTGTGAATACAAAGTTCATTGGCACATATCTTTTTCATGGTCACATAGTACAATGTTTTTGTTCACTTTTTCACGGTTACATACATTGTGTTTGTTCATTTTTGTAAAGTCTAAACTTTATTTCGCCGCTGCAGGTTTGGGCCGGAACATGTCGCTGTTCTGCGTGATGCGGCGCTATGAAATGACACTCGCTCAGTACCTCGAACTGAACCCACACCCTTCCTGCCGCACAGCTCTGCTCTTACTTGCTCAACTGCTGGAGGCTCTGCAGCATCTACATCGGCACCATATAGCCCATAGGTATTTGAAACTTGAACATCTTAGTTATGTGCACGCGTTTGTTATGTAACCTTATGCGACATGCTGGTACCATGTCGTGCAGAGCTAATCGAAACTGGAATATGTTAGTTATCACCTCATTCATAACGCCAGCAGTTTCTTGCAACTTCTTTTTGAAGGCTAAATCTGATGTAAATTCTCGTCTTGAAAGACGTTGATGATGTTGATATCGGACTCGCTATTTTATTTGCTGAACTGAAATTGAGTCTTGCTTCTTTGAACAAACGATATGATGTTCCTAAATGGAAAAGAAAATATTTATAGAGTAAATGAAGCAACTTGTTCAGGGACTTGAAGCCCGACAATATCCTGATGCTGCTGACGGATGGGGTGGAGGCGCCGTGGCTGGTCATCACAGACTTCGGCTGCTCGTTGGCTGCGTCATCAGCAAGCGGCCTGCGGGTGCCTTTTGTGTCTCGTGAAGCTGAGCCCAGGCAGGGCAATGCTGCCCTCATGGCTCCAGAGGTGTGGAACTTTACCCGTTGGTATATAAATAAATACATTAACTACACGGCCAACTGCAATGCTGCCCTCATGGCTCCAGAGGTGTGGAACTTTAACCCTTAGTACCGTATATAAATACATTAACCACACGGCCAACTGAGTTAATTAACCTATAAATTTATCCAGACCAGGACATCCGTCATCAATTTAGGTTTGTTTCTGAAGGCCTTGTTACGTTAGTTAACGTTATTAGAAAAAGTATGCAGTCTTCATGTGACTTTTTGTGTTAAATGTACGAATTTAAGCTTTTTACATATTATCCGATACATGAAACTACTTAAATATCTTGAAAAAAACTTGGGTTATTGCTATCGATGGTCAATATTTAACCATATTTTATACAAAAAATATTCTGTATCAGGAATCATTATTCTGCATCACTGAGTTGACTGTGAAATTTGCGTTGTCTACAAATTCATATGGTAAGGTAGAGTACTCGTTATTCACTGCATAATAATGTACTTTTCAATTAGTTTATGTATTTATTATTAGCGCGCTATACAAATTGGTGTTCCGGCTGCACAAGGCTTGTTGCCGCTAAAACCTTTAAAATAGCCGATAAAATTTATGTATATGTTTTTATACCTACTTCTCATGATTGTTTTTTAGGTAAAATCCGCTCGTCCGGGCATGTTGCAGTCGGTGGATTTTTCCAAGAGTGACCTGTGGGCCGCCGGCACGCTAGCTTACCAGTTCTTTGGTCTGCCCAACCCATTCCTCTCTGGTGGGTGCTTAATACTAATAAACCGGAGGAAATTATGCATAGTTCATTGTTCCACTGATTGTGATTTCACTCTCTCTAATATTTAACTTATATGGAGAAAATTATGCATATTTAAATATTGCACTCACTGTGATTTCACTCTCTTATTTTTAACTTGTAAAATATATACTGTTTATATATATATAGTCATTTGTTGATTTTATTATATTGAAGGATTAATGTCATGACGTTGAATGAACCAGTTTGTCAGATTTTATTTTCTATTTAAACTTTCGTGAAAATTCTAACTTTATTATTAACATAACAAAGCTGTGGTCTACGGTACACGACTGCCAAACTATTTTGATGTCCGTAGTCCAATGCATTTTGTTTGTTTTAACATAAACACTGAAACCGGCCCCATGGTCAATTTTTGGTTCCAAACCATAATTTTTATTCTTAATTACATTTTAAATTAGTTTGCCATGTGAGATCAAGAATAAGCTTGCAAAAATTTATATTACTATTGATATCAGCACTCAAATAATCAGAACGTTTTCAAATCTGGCTCTCATCATTATAGCTTAAATCACTAATGCACAGCACACGTCATTACTACCATAGTGTGAGATTTCATTTCATTGTTTATCTAAAGTTTGTAGAGTCTAATTTATGTTAGATCTTTTGGTGGTCCAATAAGCTATTTGCGAGCTTTAACTTTTCGAGTGCAACGCGTTTTCGAAGCCAGTTTCCGCCAGTAGGTCTTCCTGCGATTCAGAATAGATTTTCACGATGGCAAAATTAATCATTGAAAGCGACGATAAGTACCTAATTCGATGGGCAACTTTTGGATAGCTTGTAGATTTGAGTGAAATAAAGGAAATAATTAATGTGAATTAGTTTTTATCTTTGACTGACTAATTATTATGTTCAGATCTTTTTGAGTCAGATCAAGCAGAAGAGTTTAACTTGTTGTGAACTGAGGTCGGGTGGATCCTGCATAGCAATTCAAGATGTAACCAATTAGTTTTTCAGAGATTTTTTTATTGTCAGATAACATAGATTTCCATTGCTAAAGAAAATATCGTGTAATATCAGATATGGGTGTCTGATGGAGTGTTTCATTCCAAACCCTCCTTGCTCATTGTCAACTCGGTCTTTATTTAGATACCTTTATTATTTAAAATCGTTCTTTTCGTGTTTATCCTATGCCTAGATATTCTGCAGAACGTTTCATAATAATTAATTACACGTTTTCTGCTGTTGAAACATAAGGCAAAAAAGGCTGCCCGCAGCTTGACTCTGTCACGTACAAGGAGAGCGAACTGCCTGACCTGCGCGACACCGACGCTCCCGCTCCAGTCAGGCGACTCGTCGCTGATCTGCTCGCCAGGAAGCCTGCTAATGTGAGGTCACATTTCTCATTAACACGTTGACTACGATTGCTTCATCTTGTACAATTATTTCATTTTTTGTACTTTTTTTAAGCAAGGTTGCCTGACGGTAATTTTTTCGGACAAATTCCGTGATTTAGTTTTTCTCAATTGCGTTGGCCGGCAAAAATTTATGATAGGGGTACTTCCTAATTAAATTTTAAATACTGCAAAAAGAAAATAAGTGGAATTTTTATAGCGGAACTTACAAATAAACGAGTATACATTGAATTATAGGCCTTTTTTGGCCTTTTTTGTTCTCGGATTTGGCCGATTTTAGGCAACCTGAATTATGTACCACTACCTCTTGGAGAAATACATTTCGTGGTACGCATATGTACCAATACGTAGTCAACGTGTTAAGAAATGTTGTCAATGTCTAAGTTTAAGGTTGCTCTTAACTTGACTCGTTTTACTTAGTTCAAAGTTAATGTGAGGTCACATTTCTCATTGAGAAATGATGTCAAAGTTTAAGGTTTCTCTAAACTTGACTCGTTTTACTTAGTTCAAAACCCGTTACTTGATAGTGGCTCGCAGGTTGTTCCATGTAATTTTCGTCTCAAATAAATTTAATATGGTAATATTTACTAAGTAACACCAGCTACTTGAAGAGTTCCTATCTGAGTAAAAACGTTGTAATACGTTTCCTAAATATTTTTATTAGCTTAAATGAACAATATGTTTTACTGAGCAACGTCTATCTTGTTCGAATCTTTGAAAGCTATCGTGTTCGAATCGGTATCAACTATCATATTTTAGTCAGTAACTCCGTGTTTTAATTAGTTCCTATGTTTTTCAGTTTCCATGTTTTAATTAGTAATAATATTGAACACAAGCTATCAATAATCACGTGACGTGTAGTGCGAGTTGTTCATAATAGCACAAATGATGCAGTCGTAGACATGAGTGTCATATCCACAGCTCTCGACGTCATCTAAATGTCTTCACCGAGTACAGCAAATGACGTCATTGATTTTACTGCAAATTTAAAGTATACTCTGACCGGACTTAACCCTTCTCCTTAGTAGGAGATTGATTGTTTATTTATTTAAATTCTTAACTGAGTTCTATATTGAAGTATATATGCGTACAATTAATGACCAGAGAATGCATTATAATATTATAATGCATTCTCTGGCCATTAATTGTACGCATATAAAGAAAAAATTTTTGTCATTTTATAATAATTAAAGTATATTTATACACGTCCCTGTTTTTCCAGCGCCCCAGCGCCAGCGTAGCAGCAACGCTGAGCCAGCTTTGTCTCTGGGGCCCAAGTTCGTGGCTGCAGCCCTCGGTCGGGGCGCGGCCTCAGCGCGAGCAGGTCAGCTATTGATGCCTACTTTCCCAATTAATAAATTATATATTTGCGAAGTCCTAATTTAATGCACTTCTTTGAATATTAGGCCCAGTGGTACAGTTCAGAGCACCAAGATTGGAGCAGAGAGGCCAGCTCTGTGCGCCAGTTTCTGGTCAGAATCGGCGAGGAGGCCGGGCGGTTAAGCAAAGCAGAATTGGAGCAGTAAGTTGCGAGTTCGAGACCGCAACAAGCTGTGAATGTTCTGCGATGGTAAGAATCGGCGACAGGCATATGGCCTAATAAACGCTGAAACCGCTATTATTATTACTAAGAAACACTGCTTAGGTATGGTTATTTTGTGGTACATCAATCATTTCTTCCCTGGTATTTAGCTCATCAAACAACGGTTTTCCTGTCACGACTACTTTTTGCGTTCTTTACTACAAATTGAGGGCATGGGGCTACGTGTTGATTGTGTCTCAATATACTTGTCCAAATATTTTGTCATTCCTGATCACAATCGTCGTCAAATTCAGGCACCGAAAAAAAATTGCGATCATTTTTATGCAACGAAATTATTTCTACTCCGCCTTCCCGTGTTACATCAAGGCCGGAGTTAAGAGCTGAAAAAATATAAAAATGCTTTTCTAGCCCTGTGCCCTCTGTCTCTAAACTGTAACTAAATTATCAGGCCTTTTCTCCTTTAGATGGGAATAAATTTTATGGAGGTTAATTTACATGCGGACTAAGGGTTGAGGTTGTCATGTGTAGCATCGGCCTACGAACAGATGTCTCTTCAATGAGGTGTTGTAAAAGCTGCATCGGATGTACCCTGTTATACATAAATTGAATACACTACTATCATGTTCTTAACTTTTCGAATGTCTTCTATGAAAAAAAAGGTAAACGTAATTCATGTTTAGGACGCCGTCTTAGTTTTCTCATGTGTCCTATGACACTTTTTTGAAAGTGTTTTTGTGTGTCCCCTATAGAAAAAGTTTTACAAATTATCACGTTAGGGACGCGTTCTTAAATCTTTGTGTATTGACGGGACCTCTTGGTCCCAGACCGTTGCGTACGAATAGCATTGTTGACGGTAAATTTATCCGTAGGCATATCCTCTTGGTCCCAGACCGTTACGAACGAATAGCACTGTTGACGGTAAATGTATCCGTAGGCATATCCTCTTGGTCCCAGACCGTTAGATAGGAATAGCATTGTTGACGGTAAATGTATCCGTAGGCATATCCTCTTGGTCCCAGACCGTTACGTACGAATAGCATTGTTGACGGTAAATGTATCCGTAGAGAAAGAGTTAAGTTGTCTGTTGTGCGCCCAGGTGATGGAGTGGCTGCTGACGCTGACGGCGAAGGTGTTGTTCGAGCGCAGCGGCGTGAGTGCCGCCACAGAGTACCGTCTGGTGTCAGCCTTCCTGGCGCGGGTGCGCTTCACGGACGTTCTGAAGGCCATCAGCTGGAACAAGGCCTACTGAGCAACGACTTTTTTTCGATTTGATGAGGTTTTTTCGAGCTTGCGCCTTCCATTATTTGTTCTTTGTTCTGACCTTCTTAAGGCCATCAGCCTTAAGAACGTCATAAATAAGGTCCCTCTCACTTTTTTTTCTGACGTTCTTAATGCCATCAGCTGGAACAAGGCCTACTGAGCAACGACGTTTTTTTATTTGACGATGGTTTTTTTATTTAGGTTTGCGCCTTCCATTATTTGTTCTTTTTGGGCTTCTTATCTTGCAGGGGATCCGTAATATCTTCCTTTTGTTACCCACTGTAGTATGCCACTATACGCGTATTAGTCTACGCTCCAAGGCTGTCATACCTGATGCATGGTAGATAAATCGAAGCGCCCTTATCACTAGCACCTAAAACTGATCAAATATCCACAGTTTGATACTACTAGTTCATCGGATATACAAGCTTATGTGCACAATGAAAACCAGTGCGCTTGCTTCCTATCAGCCGTTATGAATATTTTCCGGTACTGCATTTTAGAAAATTGTAAGAGTTCCCTATTTGTTTACAAATTTACCATTTGATCGTTAAGTCAGCACTCACCAAGTTCAATAAAACTAGTGCCATTAAAAATTTACAGTATTGCTATCAATATATCGACTGGCTTATGAAAATCATTGTGTAAGGAAGCTTGTGACAACGATAATGGCGAGATCAGTTCATTGATGAAACTTTATCGTAAAATTTTGTGTTCATCTACTGTATTTATCGTCAGAGGTGAGGATTAGTTTTAAGTTTAATTGCGATAAACTAAAATTATAGTTTAATCACTATATTACGTATATTCAAATGTCGTGTAAAATATAATACAATCTATATAGCCAAGTTCATTGTGATAGAATTCTTCTGTTAATCTTTCTTAGCGTTGCTTTGCTTCAACCATATGCAGGCGTTGTAGCAATAGAAATAGATTCTCCGTACGTTTGCTCTTGAAGGTGAATCTATGTACTTATGTCGCTGGGAGATATTGCAAACTCAATTCTAGTTAAATCTTATTGCGGTACTTTTTTTCAATCTGGGTACTATTTTTGCAACCATGGAGACGCGGCATTATTTGCATCAAATTCTTTGTTCACAATTGAATACAGAAGTGCGACGTCCTATTAGGATTAAACGAGTTTCCGAATTGTACCTCATGTTGACAAGTGCAGTTCATACGCTGGAGAGCTTAAGTGGCCTTGTAGTATCTAATAATCTTCCGGTCATTTATTGCTTCTCACAATCGTGTACATACGCTATCGATGCCAAATTCAAAGCTGTTACACAGCAACGAATTCTCCAGGCTGATTATTACGAGAAGCTTTATAGACATACACGTGTAATTCTTGTATAACTGAATATATAGTTTTATTCGGAGCCCTCGGTGGTTATTACCTAAATAAAAATGTACGTTTTAATCTGAAAATTTTTCACCTACTTCACTAAGCGGGTTATTTATTCTATGTACGGTATGTCGGGTAAATGTCCACTTTTGTTCTAATATTTTCTCAGAGAAAATTTTCACTTATCCTAAAAAGTTTATTCAATACAGGAATTCGGTAAAGTTTCTGAAGCATGTAGCATTTATTTCAATCTCCTTCAGCGGCGTCATATGGCAACAAGCATAACGTAAGACAAGTACCGTACGTAAGGAAGTATCTTAAGTTATTCAGATAGACAATTAGTAAGCTATTCAGATAGGCAAATTAATATTCGTTTGGTGATGGGTGAAATCATAAATTCGCTACCCAATATTTCAAATAATTTTATTGACATGAAGGAATAATAGTTTTGAAAATTTATAATTAGTGACCGTGTAAATAACTAGAAACTCCAATAAGTTGACCGCTATGATGAATATCAAAAGAACGCGAGGAAGCATCGTGGATCATTTCTGCTATTCTAGAGAACTTACAAGCAAGAACAAGTAAACTCTAGACTAGAAGAGGCATGTTCATCTTGGCGCGTAGCGAGACTTCCAGTTCTCATACTTCGTATTGGCGGTGTGGAACATGTAGACCAGATGGTCAAGGAGGCCGCTGCGGCAGTTGTAGTCCCGGATTGCTTTCTCCTGGAAATATAGTTTATTTGCAGTTATTATTTTCTTGGATAACTGGCTTTTTTACATGGGGGGGAAATTAAAAAAAAAACACTGGGCGACAGAAGAGTCAAAATAGGTACGGTACGGTACAAGATCGACTCCAGAATAAAAAATATCCTGGAAATATAGTTTATTTATTATTTACTTGGATAACTGATTTTTTTACGAGGGGGAAAATTAAAAATAAAACACCGGGAGACAGAAGAGTAAAAATAGGTAACTTACAAGATCGACTCCAGAATAAAAAAAATTACATTTAATGATGGGTTCAATGATAATGACTGTTTAGCCGCGGATGGTTACCGAAGTCTTGAGTATAAATAACTTAATAATAATTTAGTTTCTATTATAACTAAATTATTATAAACTTATTATTATACATTTCTATTATTATATTATCAATAATTTGAAAGACCTGAAATAGATTCTATTATAACTAAATTATTATAAATTTATTATTACAAATTTCTATTATTTGAAAGACCTGAAAATAGATTCTATTGTAACTAAATTATTATAAATTTATTATTACAAATTTCTATTATTTGAAAGACCTGAAAATAGATTCTATTAGGGAAATAATCCTGTTCATTTTGTATTGTAAATAGTGTAAAGATATACGTGATTCTACACAAATGCTCTTGTAATGTGTTTTGATAAGTTTTTTAAGTGCAATTGGGTATTGCACTTGGTGGGGGGCAATATGTAGAGGGCTAGGTTAATTATTAAGGATTAATGTGTATTATCTTGATGTATGGTTTATAGGAAAAGGATGTATTTTAATTAGGATGTAAAAGTTGTAAGATTGTTTTAGAAAGAATCGTAGCTTTGTTGACTGGTGTCGTATACGAACGGATTCATTCGGATTTTAGAGAGCGGACAGTAAGGATCCCTCTATTCGGCCTGTATATGTCTTGTTCCAGATTGTCTCGATTAACTTTGTAACCTTGCCCAGTTTTATATGTGTGTTGTGGTGTTGGATTTTAAGTATATCTTGACCAGAAAGACTTTTATTCATTACAACAGTTCATGCGAACCTGGTGGTCCACAACAAAATTATTATAAATTTATTATTACAAATTTCTATTATTCTATTATAAATAATTTGAAAGACCTGAAAAGGCCGCAGCGTGGCCTGGTGGTAATTGTTGAGTGTGGTGTGGAGTGTGTGGAGTTTGGCGATGAGTTGCGCGTTGCGGGGCGGGAAGCAGGACCAGAAGTGACGTAACAGCTCCCCGCCGCTGCTGTACACTGCGCACAGGTCACGACGCAGGTCCTGTGGCAGCTCCTCTACCACGCCTGCACACACAAATTCTCGGGATATTTTGCTGTTTAGGAATAAAATTAGCACGTAATTCTATGTATTAGCACGCAATTCTATGTATTAGTACGTAATTCTATGTATTAGAACGTAATTCTATGTAACATATTACGCAGCAACAGGCATCGGTGATATGACAGCTCATCTACCACGCCTGCACATACAAATTCTGGGGTATTTTGCTGTTTAGGGATAAAATTAGCACGCAATTCTATGTATTAGTACGTAATTCTATGTATTAGTACGTAATTGTATGTAACATATTACGTAGCAACAGGCCTCGGTGATATGACAGCTCCTCTACCACGCCTGCACACACAAATTCTTGATATTTTACTATTTATGAATAAAATTAGCACGTAATTCTATGTAAAATTAAGATATATTACGCAGCAACAGGCATCGGTGATTTGGCAGCTCCTCTACCACGCCTGCACATGCCAACTTCTGTGGTATTTTGCTGTTTATGAATTAAATAAGCACGTAATTCTAGGTAACATGGAGATATATTACGCAGCAACAGGCCTCGGTGATTCGACAGCTCTAATGCTGGTTGAACCTGAAACATTGTTAGCATTAAAGCATAAAACTTATCTTAAATAAGAGCAAAAAATGTGGCTTAAGTCATTTGAAAATTCATGACTTATAAGATTTGACAATTAGTAACATCTTGGCGACAAATTCTGTGATATTTTGCTGTTTATGAATAAAATTAGCACGTAATTCTATGTAACTTTTAGATATATAATCATATATTACGCAGCAACAGGCCTCGGTGATATGACAGCTCCTCTACCACGCCTGCGCACACAAATTCTGGGATATTTTGCTATTTAGAAATAAAATTAGCACGTAATTCTAGGTAACATATTACGCAGCAACAGGCCTCGGTGATTTGACAGACCTCTACCACGCCTGCAAACACAAATTCTTGATATTTTACTATTTAGGAATAAAATTAGCCCGTAATTCTATGTAAAATTAAGATATATTACGAAACAACAGGCATCGGTGATGTGACAGCTCCTTTTCCACGTCTACACTCACAGAATCTGTCATGATTTTGCTTGCTTAGGAAGAAAGTTAGCACAGTTTCCGCCGAAATATTTTTATATATAACGCAACGAGAGGGCTCAGAGATTTGAAAGCTCCTATGCTACGCTGGTGCAGCAGGTGTACTGCAGAGAGAACGTCTTCTTATATTATTTTCTGATACAACACTGGAGAGGAGACATGAAATTAATAGCAATATTCTGATTTATATAAGGGTACCACAGGCATTAGAAACAGAATGTAGCTCATTAGCATTTAAAAACAGCTAAATTTAGAGAGGGACTAAAGGGGATGAATGCATGATGCTAGGTGTATATATTTAATATATACCTAAACCCAAAGAATAAATTATCTTTTACAAAACTAAGGTGAAAAATTATTTCGGACAAAAAATTAATGGTTTCAAGACAAGCCCAACTCTGAACTTATAAGATACACTGCTACCAAAAAATGCACGAAACATGTTTTTAAAAGGAAATGTTAAAATGGTTGGTTCCTATTTACAATTACACAAGACTAAAAATGTTCAACTTCGAATCTTGCATGGATCCTTTTAACATAACAAATTCTTCAGTCGTCATTACCTACCTACGGTACTCTCGACCAAAAGATGAAACCATAATAAACACACTCATGGCTCAGTATGAGTGCAGGAGAATTCATTTCTATGCGGCGAAGAAATATTATTTAGGTAATTTCGTTCGTGTCACAAAATCCATGCGAATGAATCACTTGGTCAACAATGGTCACTGACATTCACAATAAAGCTTTATAAAGTTCAGGGCAAACAAGCCATTAGTATGCGGCGTGTCGGCGCGGCCTTCCCGACATCTCACATAATCTATGTGTATAAATGACGTAATAAATAAAGGCAAGTTTGGGCCCACAAACCATTAGTATGCGGCGTTTCCGCGCGGCCCTCCCGACATAATCTATGTATATAAATGACGTAATCAAAGGCAAGTGTGGGCCCACAAACCATTAGCATGCGGCGTGTCGACGCGGCCCTCCCGACATAATCTATGTGTATAAATGACGTAATCGAAGGCAAGTTTGGGCCCACAAACCATTAGTATGCGGCGTGTCGGCGCGGCCCTCCCGACACCTCTCGGACACAAGCTGCAGTGTCTTGTGTGCCAACTGGGGATTCTGCGCAGACCGCAGGTCAGGCGTCCACTGCGCCACTGCTCGCGACAGCTCTTCGTTCAGCTCGTCCAACTGCAAACAAAATGCGAAGAATTATCGTCTCTATAGTAAAAATTGTTGATTATTTAGATAAGCGCACAAGACGTTCCTATTTCCATAATCAATGTGGAATTTATAATCCAGCAGCCTGATGCTTCTCTGTTACTCAGTTAAAGTTCATCAAATCAAAGGGACTTTCGCAACTACAACAGAAAAAATCTGCATCAGTTTAGATGTCACCACAAGATGTTCGTACTCACAAAATCAATAAAGAGTTCATAATCCTTCAGGCTGATGTTTCAACATTACTATGATATCCAGCTTCGTATCGAAACTTAAGGTAAAATATACCGTATCTTAGACTATTTTTGCTGTGACCACTGCAAAAATAGAGTAGAACTTTTAAACTGGCGGAGTTATTCCAACTGCATGAAAAATTATTCTAGGGCAGATTTACAACAGAATAAAAAATTGCACACACACACACTTATCATATTAAAACATCTTTCCCGAGAAATGTATTGAGAAGTTGATTGAAAAATCTTATAAGTCACACTACATATTAGTCACATTCGTATCATCATTAAGTTGAACTCATTCCATGAATTAAAAACATCTTTTCCGAGAAGTGTATTGAGAAGTAGATTGAAAAAATTTATAAATAAATCACACTATATTAGTCACATTTGTATCATCGTTAAATTGAACTCGTTTCATGACATCCATACAATAGGATAGAACTGAAGACCAAAGAAATCTATGGAGTTCAACTACTGCTTCAAACCTGAATCAATTTCACCTGGTGAGCGGCTGCAGGCTTACTTAATAACCATATTCACCTGGTGAGCGGCTGCAGGCTTACTTAATCACCATATTCACCTGGTGAGCAGCTGCAGGCTTACTTAATAACCATATTCACCTGGTGAGCAGCTACAGGCTTACTTAATCACCATATTCACCTGATGAGCGGCTGCAGGCTTACTTAATCACCATATTCACCTGATGAGCGGCTGCAGGCTAACTCTGTCTCTTATACACATCTAGATGTGTATAAGAGACAGGTATATAACCAAGTATACCAGCTTTTCCTGCAGTATATAACCAAGTCTACCAGCTTTTCCTGCAGTATATAACCAAGTATACCAGCTTTTCATGCAGTATATAACCAAGTCTACCAGCTTTTCATGCAGTATATAACCAAGTATACCAGCTTTTCATGCAGTATATAACCAAGTCTACCAGCTTTTCATGCAGTATATAACCAAGTATACCAGCTTTTCCTGCAGTATATAACCAAGTATACCAGCTTTTGCTGCGGCCGCGCCTGCAGAGATACTGCTAATTATAATCCAGGTTTGCATCAAGATCCTGAATGATATTATCTTGCATGTCATCATTTTCCTAAGGTAATGTCAATGACTGAACAATGCTAAAGAAATAAACGTAGCTGATAAAAATTTCTAGCTAAGAATTGAGAAGCTATCAAGGGAACACTACATAGGTATTTTTTACAAGTTATGATTCTTTGCTTGCTCAAATGGTTTACTATTGTTACCCGTAAAATAATTTTACATCAGAAACATCATGTTCATAGTGCAATGCTATATTTTTTTAGCAAGAATATAGCTTGAAAAATTAGCAATAAGCCATTGACATCATAATTACATAAAAATTACAAATTTCGGGCATTTACCATATGAATATTACCCTATGGCGTCACAAATTAATAGGTCCTGATATAATAATTACCAATTTACTTTTTTGTTCTTGGTCTGCGGCACAGGAGGAGCAGTCCCGTTGGTGAGGGCGTCAGGATTCTTGGCGACCATCTCGTCATAGAGACGGTCAGCCTCAGAACGCGTCTGGGCCTTCAGGATGTTTTGGCTGTGCTGGTTGAACCTGAAACATCATCAACATTAGAGCACAAAACTTATCATATACCTAATAAGAGTAAAAGATGTGACTCAAGTCATTTGGAAATTCAAGGTGGTCAGACTCAGAACGCGTCTGGGCCTTCAGGATGTTTTGACTATGCTGGTTGAACCTGAAAAATTGTTAGCATTAAAGCACAAAACTTATCATATAATAAGAGTAAAAGATGTGACTCAAGTCATTTGGAAATTCAAGGCGGTCAGCTTCAGAACGCGTCTGCGCCTTCAGGATGTTTTGGCTATGCTGGTTGAACCTGAAACATCATTAACATTAAAGCACAAAACTTATCATATAATAAGAGTAAAAGATGTGACTAAGGTGATTTGGAAATTCATAAATTATAAGATTTGACAATTAGCAACATCTTGGAAACAAAGAATCGTAAGAAAAAAAACGAGGGATGAAATCAATACAGTTGCATTACAGTAGTAATCTATCTTCAAGCATATACGCTTGCTCTGGATGGTCCATATGTTGAGTATATTCCTACATAATTCTCCTAGGAATTACCCATCTGACTGCTTATTAAAAGAATACCGAAATCTCCATGTCATAAGGTTTGCTTGGGCATAGGTTTTCAACATTAAACTAAATTTGATCCAAAATGTAGCATACAAACGTTCATATATTAAGAATACAATAGAGTAAAATTCAAATAGCCATTTCATTCATGGTTGTTTGAATTCTTCCACTAAGTCTTCCATCCCCTCACCACATAGGTACCTATATTATTAATGGTAGTGTGTATGAAGACGCTAATACAGCATTCATGATGTCACATTTGGTCGTGGTCATGGTGGCACGCATGTAGTTGCTGCTACAACATTCATGGTGTCACATCTCTTCATCAACTCACCGCTTGATCATGGTAGCATGCATGTAGTTGCTACTACAACATTCATGGTGTCACATCTCTTCATCAACTCACCGCTTGATCATGGTAGCATGCATGTAGTTGCTGCCCGCATTGCTCGAGCTGTTCTGAGTGGAAGCGTACGCTGGAGTCTCGTAGATGTTGTCCAGATTTAAGATTGGATCACTCACTATCTTCCCTAGATCCTTGGACCATTCTGAAATATTTAGCCAGTTAGTACATTAGAATGTTCTAAACCAAGACATCACATAAATTTTTTAAATTTATTCGTATCATATCAATCGATACTATTCATATTTTGACACATTGAAAATTATTCAGAAAATTAAAAATTTAAAAGCACATCTGGGAGAGAGGGAATACTTTGAATCTGATAGAGGCTTTAAAAATGAAAAATGCCTAACTGATCACACAATTGTGTAGGTAGGTACCTTTGTCATCATACTTGGTACACTCAGAAAAGACTTCTTCAGACCGGCTTGTGGTGTGAGCGCTGTAGTAATGGGATTGGAAGAACCTTGTCCAGAACTCGGACTCAGTCATGCGGTGGGGTACATAGTCATCATGCTTCTTCTTCACTGCAGGATAAGTCTTGAACACAGCCAGCATGATCTCAGGAGTTAAGTTGTACAGCACCTTGCCATTGGTGCCATCTGTTTGAGGTTTGATGTCAGCCTGAATTAATAAGAATTAAAAGTTAAAGAACTATTTTTAGAGCCACAAAGAGACAGATCATTTGAAAAAGACCAGAATGCATGCAATGTGGCATGTGTATAGCGAGACAAATGATTGAACACATTGAAAATCTATTGTTGAAATATTTCATTGGCAACAACAAGTTGATTTATGTCTTTCTCCTAGAGCAAGAAATAGATGTTATGACTTGTGTAACATATAAAACATTGAGGTTAACTAAGATAATATATACAGATACATACAAAAATATACCTATATTGGAATAAGGGTTTACTTAGAAAATATCAATGCTGTACCCTTAAATTTCACTGTGAAAGAACTCACCAAGAAAGCTCCTGAAATACCCATCTCCATATTAGGTGTTAGATTTTTCTTGTATGCAGCAGCAATTTCCCTCCAGAACTCCTCAGGCTGCAGTAGATTCTTAGGCACAAGGTCTTGATAAAGCCTATGAAGCCGAGGGTTCTCCTCAAGAATTCGTTTCTTCTCTAGCAACTCATTAGGAGGCTGCCGTTTGCTAGCAGACAGGAGTTGAGACAAACGTTCCTGGAAAAAGAGTACGGTATTACGGTATTACATCAAACAATAACAAATTACTTCATATACCGGTACCTAATAAAATATGGCTGAGCTTACATCAAACAATAACTAATTACCTACTTCATATACCTAATAAAATATGGCTCAGCTTATAAGTATATGAGTTTGAAGTAGAGCAAAAAAGTGACAATATGATTTTTGGTTCTAGAAGTAAAACAGGAGAAAAGAACTGATAAGAACAAGATGAAAAACTGAGAAAGAATGCAAGAACATCTCTGCTAAAATGACATCAGTTTTTATGTAGGTCTTTTCGTTTTCTCAAGTTTGAAATTTTTTGCTTAGATCCAGTAAATTTAATTCTAACTGACAGCAAATAAAAACAGTTGGTATAAATTAAATTTATTAGTATACGTAGTATATACAGGGTGTTTCAGAATTAAGTAACCCTTTTAATTTGTTAATAAATAAAAAACTAAGAACGTTATGAAGTTGAAACTTGTTTTATTTAAAAGAAGAACATTTTCATGGTAATATTGTATCATAGTTACGTTATTATCCTGTATAGCTTGCTAAATTTGTTGTTTAATTATCAAGCCTTAAATTTTCATCATGATTCGCTACAGCAAAGAAGAAAGAACAAAAATTATCGCTACAGTCAATAACAATGTCAATAACAGAAGTTCAACGTGATTACAGGATCCATTTCAAAACAAGGATCCTTCAAAAAACACATTTAAATATCTTTATCAAAAATTTGCGGATATCAAAAATTTGCACTCTCGTCAGAAACACTAATGAAGGTTATGAAAGCAACGAAGAGAAGAGCCCTATTTTGTCAAAACAATTGTGAATACAATATTACCATAAAAATGTTCTTCTGTTAAATAAAACAAGTTTCAACTTCATAACGTTCTTAGTTTTTTATTTATCAACAAATTAAAAGGGTTACTTAATTCTGAAACACCCTGTAGATATACCTATATGGACAAAGCAGATACGGTGCCACTTGTTATAGACAATACACTGAATATTGTTATTAGCAGAGGCATAATTCAGCATTTTTTACGAAATTTAATGCAGATTGTCTTTTGATTCATTTGATTATGACCAAAAACTTAGGATCATTAATCTCTTTACATTTCTTTACCTTGACTGAAAATTCTTAATGGCAATACTCATTATACTTCAGTTCAGTGTTTCTATCCAGGATTACTAGATTTCTTTTCAAAAATTTGTCAAATATTTCAAAGATTTAGAGGAAACACACAATAAAAATCTGCTGTTAAGCTGCATTTAAAGTGAAGTTTTTTCTTAAACAATTGATTGTGATCTAACTTTGAAAGGAAACAAAAAATTTTAACATAATGTCTAATGACAGATGCATAATTTTTTAATAATTAGGGGCAGTTAAGATTCCAAAAAGCTGAATTGGAAAATTTTCACATCAATTTGCAACACTTTGAAATTATCTACAATAGGTACATATGCATAGGTAGAACATCATCAGAAATGCTTTTGCATGTTAATGTTTCATAGGAATCTTCTGAAATAATTCATGATCATTTTATGAAATAATTTTATATATAACGGTACATATAATGTTCCATTAGGCTATTGGGCAATTTATTAATAAGACTTCAGTTTCTTGACCTCAGTAATAACCAAAAAAATCTTTATAAATACTTCACAAACCTTAACTTGATTTCTCTCTTCCACTTGTTTTTCTCTTCCACTTGGGTTAGTGAAATGAAAAATATGCGTTGACTGATCATTGAGGATGATTTGTAGTTGCACCTTAGGCTTACCCTCAGGAGATATCTTTTGAGCTGAAAATAGATTTATATTAGTACAGCAAAAATAAATACATAATTAATCAAAGAGTAGGTACCTATTCTGTCATACCAAATGAAGTAATTAGTATTAAATAGGTTTTGGACTTCCTTAATTATCACCACTTTTCTAAAAATAAAATTGTCAGCCACGTATGAGCAACACTGAAGAGAGGCACAAGTTGCAAAGTGTTGCGACTGAATATCTACACGGAGATAATTGAAAATTTTATGGAATAAAGTGACTTTCAAGAATCAAGATTGTTGATTGTTACCATTTGGTAACAACTGTTATTTACTCCAAGCAAGCTGAAAACTATTGATGGAAATCTTTTTAAAATTAGTCAGTACTTTAAACAAGAAAAACTTGAAAATTTGAAAGAATTTTTTGTGTTTTTTTTTTTGTAATTTTTGTAAATCATCATCTTGATGGAATAGCCTGAAATGAGGCCACCAAGCAACTAATGACTAGGTATTCTTCAACATTATAGAAGAAATTCCTAATATTGTACTTTAATATAATAATACAATATGTAAATACAATATTATACCTTAGTGAATTGTCATACGTATATCTTATTAAAAATTCAAACACATTTATAATTATTTATTGAACATTTAAACTTGCTGCAATATTTTATGGCTACAAGACCCCAGATAGCAACCCAAGTTTAAGTATTGATTAAAGATTACACTAGAAAGTAGCTGCATGGAATATAGGTACCATAGTGCTTAGTAGTATCTACTGTATTGTGCAAATTAGCTTGGACAGTGGTGAAAATAACACAATTATTTGCCACATTGAAGTTTTATCAAAAAAAAAAAAACATGCCAATGGTACAAAATATGATATAATCAATATACGTAGCAGATATGACCTACTTTTGCTTTTACAAGCATTTGAACACAATTTGGCATTGATTCCACCAAAGTTGAACACATTTTAGTCACTTGCTCATCAAGATACCAGGTCCTAATTACAGCACAAATTAGCTTTGCCATTGTTGAAGTCTTTTTTTCAGGAGTCTTTGTTTGATTACCTATAGCCCATAAGTTTTCAATGGGATTGATGCCTGGAGAATTTTCATACCAGTATAAAATCTACAGTCAACTTTCCTTAAAGAATGTGTGCATATTACGTGAAGTATGGCATGGTGCATATTACGTGAAGTATGGCATGGTGCGTGATCCAGCTGAAAAATGCCATCTCCATCATGAAAGTCCCTTGTCATACTAGGAAGCATATGACTTTCCAAAGTAGCCTTGTATCTATCACTATTCATCATTCCCTCTACATTAATGAGTCATCCAAGGCCTTTAGCACTTAAATTACCCCAAAACATCTAATTAGGCGGATGTTTGGGAGTTGGCATTTTTCAGCAGGATCACGCGCCATACCATACTTCATGTAAAATGCGCACATTCTTTGAAGAAAGTGGACTGGAGATTTTAGACTGGCCTAGAAATTCTCCAAGTCCAGACATCAATCCCATTGAAAACTCATGGGCTATAAATATAATCAAACAACGACTCCTGAAAGAAGACTGACAATGGCAAAGCTAATTAGTGATGTAATTAGGAACTGGTATCATGATGAGCAAGTGACGAAAATGTGATCAACTTCGGTTGAATCCATGCCAAATTGTGTTCAAATGCTTGTAAAAGCAAAAGGAGGTCATATCTCCTATTAATTACCTATATCATATTTTGTACCATTGGCATGTTTTTTTGAATAAAACTTCAATGGGGCAAATAATTGTGTTATTTCAACACCTGTCTAAACTTATTTGCACAATACTGTACTTTCTGATCTTCAAAGAGAGCTTTCATATCCCCTCTGAAGCCCTCTTATTCCTGCTAGATAAATAATCTATCTTATTTTAAACAAAACTTCATGCTTTAGATGGTACAAAATTCCAAGACCAGGAAAAATATGTTGCCTATAAGATTTTTGTATTGAGTAGAAATTTTGTATATGGTAATAAACAATGCAGTGTTCCTACATCTTAGCTAACAGTTCCAATATCCCAAAGCTCCGATTTTTTTCAATTTAGCTTGAAATGGCCCCATGTAATGATTTGTAAAAGCCCTTGTTTGTGGCAAATTTTACTAACTCCTATATATAGCCCTCTGATCATATTTCTTTGATGAAAATACAAACAAGAGGCGTATTTTGGTCCATATTCACCTGTGAAAGAATTTATTTCACCTACAATTTAAAAAAAATTCTTTCAAATATTCCAGATTTGTCACTTATCACTTATCTATTAGATAATTCACCTAGCAAGAATATTTCTGCATCCCAATCTGGAATATTGGACAGAATTTTCCTAAAATCACTGGTTAAAGTAATTGACACCTGATTCTAGTGAATTGCGGGTAAAAACAGGCAATTTTTCTCATTTTTCATGAAAATTTTTCAAAAGGCCACAGAAATGGATAAAATTTGCAAAGTTCACAAGGATTTTTGTCCAATTCATGGGCAGCTTTGGCCCAATTTTCCATTTGGGCTGCTTCAGAAATGCAAGGAATACTCACAAAGTGGAAAAAGTGGCCATGAATTGGATGAAAATGCCTATTAATCTAAAATTTTACCCTATAATACGGCCGTTTAATAAATTTTTGTTGTGAAAAAATAAGTCAAACAGCCTATTTTAACAGTGATTTTCAAAAAATTGCCCTCAAAATGCTTGTTTTTACCTGCAATTTTAGGAAACTTGTGCCCAATATTACATAAAGGGAATAATCTAGTTCTGTCTGACTAAAAAAGACATGTATACTGTAAATTCTGCAATATACAGAAAAAAGTATAAATTTAAAATTGGTCAAACTAAAAAAATAAGACTAAAAAATGTTTTAAAACTTCTAACAGATAGTTGAACTCACTCTTGATAGTTGTATATGGAACACTAACAGCAAAACTGTCTGTCTTGTCCATAATCCATCCAATCTTCTTATGAGCAATGCAGAGTTGTCCATTATTTTTTTTATACTTAACATCATTAATCTGAAGCAAAATATCTTCTGATTTATCACTCATAGTTTGAAAGTTGGAGCTGTTGAGTTTAATGGAGAGAATTAATAATGTTGTCTAATAGGTATCTATATTAGTCGTATTACAACCATTTAACTCAATCTTATTATCTAATTAGTACCATAGTTACATTGTAGATAGATATGAATAGGTATACAAAAAAATACTATAAGGGTAGAAAATTTATATAACATTTCATCAACATTGAAAACTCAAGTATACTAAGAAAAATCATCTACATTCTAGAAAAATGAATCTAATGGTAAAAGTCCAAAAGCATTTCTTAGGAGACTAATGAAGAGCAGGGATGTCTCCTTTCCCTTTGTACCCTCACTCATTAGATTCAGCTGAAACACTTTATTCATGAATTGACCCAATTTAATAGAAATTCAAGTAAGTTCAAGCAAACAACAGAGTCTCTAGCATTAGCAACTCACAATGTCTTCTATACCCACACTGGGAGATCAATTTACCCTGAACTCTACAAACTCATATCAGATCCAGGCTGGTAGCAGCAAACTGCCATTTTCCAATCATGCACATAGATAGAAAGTTGGAAATCTGATTACCAATAAATGAGGGTGATTTTCAGCTCCAAGGCAATTAGTTGGCACAGAGGATTTGTTCACACAATCAAATCACTGAGTTTCAGAAAAATGTGAGTTCTTGATACCCTGAGCAAGGGCACATGGCCAATTGGGTCCTTCAGGAAACTCAGAGCATTAGGTCCCTGTGGCCATAGTGGCAAACCATGTTTTAGAATCGATTCATCTTCAATTTCCTCATTTGCTCAAGATTTGAACAAATATCTTGGGAATGATAATGCTGGTATCCATGATACTTTGCTGGTCTATTTATATGACTTAAAAGTGAAACAAGTCTAAAAATCTCTCTTCTTTGCCACTATGCCACTTCTTTGCCACTATGTTTTGAGAGTGACGTAAAGCAAACAACTCTAGTTGCGCTTACTGTAATTTTTTTATAGCCAGTCATTTTTTGCTACGTCCTTAATGTGTCGGAATATACCGTGTTTACTCTATTTTTTCATGTTTCAGTTTGCTTCCAGAGTTTCAGTTATTTAGCCAGTTAGGGTAAATGCACCATATTCCGATATCGTGGGTAATTCCGACACTTTTAAACTGTTTCCTTTATATGGAGGCCAAGTCTTTATTCAGTACACTGTAAGTCCGGCAATGACAGAGCGTGATTCATTGTCAAGGATGGTGTTGGGTTAAAGATCTAATATATATATTAAGCTTTGTCTTAGTTCCACGCAAGCATAGATGGTTGAAATAGTGACGACATACTATTGCCCACCAGATTTCCGCAAAACACTAGGTCTGGGCCGTCTGGTGGGAAAATGTTAAGATCCTCAGTGCAACAGTTGCACGTCACCCTGTGAGAACATCAAAACACGCGTCAAATCTGATAGTTGGCCTTGCTCTACCTGTCTACCAAATAGTGATAAAGTGTTTGTGTAGAAAGAATATCATGGTTTGAGACTTTTAAATAAGTCTGTGAATATATTAGGAATCCTTCAAGCAGGGTTGGCAATGATTAAATCAAAATGATTAAATCATGTGATTAAATCACTTGATTTTTTTATAAAAAAAATCATTATTTTTTTTTATTTTTTCGATTTTTTTTTATTTTTTCATATATTTAAAAATATTGAGTGGCAGTCATTAATTTACATTGAGGTATTTTTATTCATGGTTTAGTATAAATGTACTATGAATGACAATTTGGTATATAAACTTGTTGCCTTTGATGTGTATTAGGTTCCAAAAAATTGAATGTTTTTGGTACAGAGGCATCAAGAGTGCAATACATTGTACGTAGCTAGCAGCTTAGCTAATTCTTATAGGGCTATAAGTAGTCTAACTATTTGACTATTTGTTATATATTGATTACAATATACAATTTAAATGTGTTAGCTAGCTTATACAGGGTGGGGCAGAACTGATTGAACAGTTTTGAGGCAGAATAAAAGAGTACGGTAATGGAGGTACATAAAGAAGAAAGTTTATTTTTCTCTTGATTAGCATAATATACAATTCAAAATATTTATGTTTTGAAAACAATTCAGGAAGATGGGGTTTGCTAGCTGCATCACACTGTTGGAGTTGCTCTCGGAAGTTTCCTACAGCATGTTCACAAATATGGCAAGGCATGGCCATAACCTCTGCTGCAATAATCCATCCCCTTAGCTGTGGTAGGGTGTGAGGGCGACTTCTGAACCCCTTTCTTTTTCTTCTGAATCACCCCTCAGAGTCACCAGACCTACAGGAAACATGCGTTTCAAAACATTGAGTGACATTCGAGCTGTGTGAGCTGTAGCCCCATCCTGCTGGAACCACAAGTCTCTCAATGCTTCATTTTCAACAATGTTTTCCATCATGGGCTGCAAGAAATTTTGCAACATTGCAGCATAGCAATCGGAATTCACTGTCATGGTTACTCCCTCCTCTGATAACGACTCCAACAGTGTGTTGCAACTAACAGCCCCCATCTTCCAGATATTGTTTTCAAAACATAAGTATTCTAAATGGTATGTTATGCTAACCTCTAGGAAAATAAACTTTCTTCTTTATGTACCTATGTACCTCCGTTACTCTTTTATTTTACCTCAAAACTGCTCAATCGGTTCTGCTCCACCCTGTATATTGAGAGGTTGAGATTGTATTGATCTTTTAGGCAATTAGAAAAATTTTTCACCCTAATACGAGTAGGTATTCTAATTAAAATATTCAATTTCAATCTTTAAATATGTGAATATTGGTCTGAATTAAATGGGAACAGTGCAGTCGGTTACTCAGTCACTACTAGTCGGTGTGTATAGAAGGTAGAGTCTGGTAGATTTATAGGACATAAAACTAGTAGATCTATTAATAGTGCTGTGCACTGTGCTATCAGTTACCTATCTGTTATGTGACTCTTTAATGTTTAGGAGATCTGCATTCCTGAAGTGTTTTTTGTATATTGAAGCCAGTTAAATGGTCAATATTTAGCTCATTACCTTGCTTCATAAAAACTTTACAAAGCTAATGAATAGACTTATCAATAATTGTTTACCCAAAAATCCCAAAGTGGTAAACACCACCTTGGCCTGTTGGCCATTATTGAAGGCAATAAGTGCCCTTTTTAGCCATCCATTATGATCCATATACTGCTATTGTTAGTAGGCTAATTGCAACATAAAAAATAACACCTAAAAAAAGACAAAAAAGCTGAAAAAATAAAAAAAATCGCCAACCCTGCCTTCAAGTATACTCGTATTTGCTGATTTTAAATGGTAAATAAATTAAAAGATTATTAAGTTAAGAGATGGTTATAGACACATAAAAACTAATTCCTACACAGCGTGGAATTGGACACACACAGCTTGTTCCAAGCTGTGTTCAAAAATTAAAATTTTCTTAATTAAAAGCTTAATGGCTGTTAATGAAATGTTTAATTAAAAATCACAATTTTTTAATTAAGCTTAAGCTTGTTTCGAGCTGTGTCATATTCCGATACAGCTCACACAGGGGTAGGAATTCCAACACAGGGTTTAACTGTGTCGGAATTACGAATTAGTAAGAGTTTGAAGTGCTGTCAGAATTAGTCTCACAATATGCCAAATTTAGGCACACTGATTCATGCCTCACGAGTCATGGTGAGTGATGCCGACTCGATGCATGAGGCACGTGACCCACGTCACATACCACAAGTGACTTCAATATGTTTACTTGAAATGGAGTACTTTTTTTAGATGCTTTTATTTTTTCTACAGATTTTGATATCAGAGTCTGGTATCTGGTTGGGAGGGACTGAGTCATAGTCTTAGACTCATAGGT